AAAAAAAAAAAAAAAGACTGAGTCCACAAAGAAAGTAGGGCTCATGCATGTCTCGGGAAACCTGTACTGTGAGGGGCATGAGGTGCTGGGGGAGGGACCTGGAGAATATCAGTCCAAGGTGAATTTTTTTCACCTCACAGGGAGTACATAGTGATCGTGGGAAAGCCACCTCTTCTTCCCCTGCTACTTCATTTGAATGTCGCCTTAGTACAGATCACATGCCTGCCTACCTTCCTGGAGGTGGGGCTTGCAGGGGCAAATGACCCCAGAATAGGCTCTCAGAGTTCTGAACCTAAAGTCTTTCCCCCTCCACGAAGCTTTATTGGGTGTCTCCTGACTAATGGACAGTGAGGTGGGCGCTAGATATATACATGTAATTCTCATACTCTCTGCCTAGCCGAGGAGATGGACATATGGACAATGTGTTACAGGAACCGTAGGTCAGATGTGCACGTGTCTCGTCGGGGCACAAATGAAGGGGTGATCAATTCTGACTGGGAATATCTGGAAAGGCTTCAGAGAGGAGGGGATAATTGACCTCAGCCTTGAATGAGAAGGAGGTGTTCACCAGACTGACCCTTTCTAAGTGGTGCTTGATGAATGTGTGTCTCTGCTCTTTGCTGGAGACAGTGAAACAGAAAAGGAGGGGTAGTGGTTCCTGCCCTCAAGAATTTCACAGCTTGCTGGGGAGACGGGCCTGGCACGGACGTACGAGCCAATTAAAGCTCTGTGCAGACAGATGGAATTGCGGAGGCGAGGACAGGCCACCGGGGGTACTTGGTGATCCAGGGTTTCCAGAGTTACTCCTCTCTCATGGAGAACACAGTTTCTGTAAGGACAGTTCAGACCTTGCAAAGATGTCAAGTGGAAGAGGCCCAGGCGTTCTGCCTTGACTTGTCAGCCTGGTTCTATATAGAAGCAGCTAGCTGGATTTGGAGATGGGCAGGGAGGAAGTGAGGGTGGGTGGAGAAGGCCGATGGTAAGAATGTAGCAGTATTGGCTCACTCTTTACAACCCGGGTAGAATCTGGGGTTTGCAAAACACACGTATCAACACGCAGCTCGAGCATTCGGGCCCTCCAGTGTTGCATGGGCACCACGCACACTCCCAGCCTTTGCTTCTGCTGTCTCGGTTCTTCCACCTTGAATGACTCCCCTTTCTTGTCTTCATGACGTCTTCCCAGACTGCTCTTCAACACTGATTTCCAACCTGCCAGATACTTAACCGGTTATCCTCTGTCGCTCATCACCAAGCCGGGTTCAGCATTGTTCTCCGTTTTTTAACTCCCCGATGAGAGTGTAAACACCTTCAGAGTGTGAATGGCATCTTATGCTTTTCTTTCCTCCCCTGTGAGCAGTTTGTGTAGCACAGAGAACACGGCTTTCTCTAGACGGTCTTGCCACTGAATCTCAGCCTTGCCACTTTCGCTAAAACGCTGATCTCAGCTTCCTTCTCTGTGAAATGGCGTAACCCGGGGTTTCTCAACTTTGACACTATTGGCATCTGGGACTGGATAATGCTTCGTCGTGGGTACCATCTGTCCGCTGTAGGATACTTAGCACGATCCCTTGCTCCCACCCATTAGATGCCACTGGCAGCCCTCCCTTTCCAGACATGACCATGAAAAACATCTCCAGATAATTTTTGTGTCCCAAAAACCTTCCCTGTGTCAAGCGTCCCCTGTGCCAAGTTTCTCTTGTGCAGCAAGATCTCTTCCAGTTGAGAACCACTGGGATGACATTACCTGTTGGGTCTGTATCAGACTTCCTCGTGCTGCATCCGGGACACAGCTGACGTTCCACAAATGCCGATTCTCCTGCATTCCTGATTCACCCCGCACTTGGCACGCTACAGGTTGACGAGTTGAACGGAGCTGTGACCCTAGGTTTTAGCAGTCCGGGGTGGAAAAGTCATGGAACTCTCCAGCTGTTTCCCACAATGCATTAACAGAGTCACTATCATTTTCTTAATTGCAGATTGATCTGGAGCCAGAAGGAAGAGTGTATGTGATCATTGATCTGTCGGGGTCGTCGGGTGAAGGTAGGAGGATGTGATCTCTCCTCATTGTTCTCTTCCATTGACCCTTTGTCTAACGTTGTCTCCCTCCCCTCTGTGGCTGGGACGTATTACAGTGACATTTAATTAATTGGCACCCTTCAAAGGAAAAGGTTATTTTGAAGATGCTTACGCCTGTGTACCAAAAGGGACCAGCCATCTGTTAGCTTTGGTGGAGCAGAGGGAAGATTTTTGACTTACCAAGTAAGGCCAACAAAGCAGGCGTCCCTGCACGCTGGTGCACAAGGCAGGCTTCAGTAGAGCGGCAGCCTCTCCCCGGAGGCTCGCGTGGGGTGTGTGTGAGTGTGGGGGGAAGGAAGTAAAACCAGTTGGTCTAACGGTATTCTGAAACGAAACAAATAAGGTGTCAAATTTCAGAATCTTATTTTTTTCGAGCTTTTATAGAAGTGTTACTTCTTTTTACAGTTCCCCACGCAGGCAAAAGCCCTGCTTATAGAGAGAAATAATGGGGTAAGGGAATGTCTGCTCCCCACTGGATGATGAAATAGGGTATAGACGTTCTCTGATGGTTGGATTTTCTTTCTTTCTTTCTCCATACACCCTCTTCTGTCCGTCCTGTCTTGGCACATTTACTACCTTTAAAGGCTTGCCGGGTGGCGAGGACTGAGCAATCAGAGTGGAAGGGAAGACTGGACAGTAAAACCTTGTCCACACAGAACAGGGAGATGGTGGCAGATGTAGGCCCCAGGGAGGCTGGGAACTAGGGCTGGAATTTATTGGGAACCATCTTTCCTCTCCTCTCTCTATGCGCAGGAGGACAGCACAGTTGGCTTTAATGTCATGGCAGAAAGATGGATGGGAAGGCCAAGGCTGGTTCCTCCTGGCGATGAGAAAATAATGGAACTCAGGGACTGTGGCAGTCTTTAGGGAAAGACAGTCAGCTCCTGGAGACCTGGCTGGAAGACCGGGGTCTTTTATAGCATCTCTCCGGAATGCTGGAGATTGCAAGCACAAAGTCACAACGCCACATGGTCTCCTTGCTTTAGGGATGAGCTCTAGTTTGTAGTTCAGTAGTGGGAGGAGAGATTATGCTCGCAGACTCAGTGGAGTGGGTCAAACGATGTGCTTGACAGTTGTGCCTGATGGTTTTCATTTGGCTAATTTATCACCCAGTTTCAACAGGTGTTCAGAATAATTCAATAATTGTGTGTATATGGGGCTTATAATAGAATTCAGTCCTCTTTGAATAGATCTCAATTATTTGGCATAGGTTTAAAACTTTAAACAGCCTTCCAAAATTGGTCTCGTACATTTTCTTCTCTTTACTGCAATTACATTTTGGCGTTTCCAGCTTTCCTTCTCTACCCTCGGCTCTGAGCAGCCCAGAATAGAATCTGTTGTAGAAGATTCAGGGATTTAGCAATGTTTCGTGTGAAATATTTAAGATGTGCCAAAGGGCCTGAAGAATAATAAAATGAGCACCAGTGTACCCACCACCCAGATTAAGAAATAAAGCAATGATTAAGGTGGAAGCTTGCACTGCTTTTAACGTAGCGTGTGATCCCAAATTCAGCAGACCTAAAAGTATTACAGTGGCCTCCTGATTGTAGATCCTGGCGAAAATTTTGATGAGCAAAATCAACTCCCCTTTCCTTGCATAATCTATATGTCATAGGAAAACTAGGAAAATTAACAAAATATACCTTTCCTGTGCCAAAATGCTGGGTAACCGATTGGAGGGCTTAGGTTATTATTATTATTTTTTTGCTTTGAAAAGATGAAACACTTGTGAAATTATGGAAGACCCCCTTTTTTACGTTAGACAGAAAGGATAGGGAACGAATGAATGAGTAAATAAATCAGAAGCAATTGATTTTTTTCCTCCTTGCTTCTGTGGCTTATTGCATGTGAATGGCCAAAGCAATTTTCATTGGGCTGAATTCGGAGTGTATTTTTTTTTTATCTCTTTCATCTTAAGAAAATAGAGTTTACTTCAGAAATGCTGACACATGCCAGACTCTGTAAAGTGCTAGCATGTGTTGCTCTGAAGAAAAGGAAAACTTTTTTTGCCCCCCTCCCCTTTTTTTTTCTCACTGTTCCCGGATTTGGGAGTCTTTCTCTGGATGGCGGGAAAGAGTTCCAGCAACCTCTTTGTAGGACCTTGTTGTGCTCCGTTTGCGTTCTGTACATCTGTTCGCCCATCATACCGTTGAGACTTTGAAGATCTCCTGCTCCAGAGGTTTTGGGAAGGGGTTGGGGGGGTGGGGCGAGGAGAGGAGCAAAGGTTGGGTAGCCACAACATGTGTTACCTAGACTGCATGAGAAGGGTCCAGTGCAAAACACGGTTGTCCCAGCTGGACTGTGAATGTTCACAGATTCTTATCTAAGTCCCTTTCTTAGGTGAAAGCACCTCACTGTATTCTACAAAAGCATGCAAAGAGAGTTGCAATGAAGCAAGGCTGACAGGTTCACTCTGTTATTCTGCCGTCCGGCATCCCTTCAGCTCGCCTGTCTCAAATGCTCCAGTCCCATCAGTGGAGAAAAATACCTATGTTCATAGCGATCACATACACTTTACAACACAGGCAAACAGCAAAGAGCCCAGGGAGAGGTGTGGGATGAGGCTATGTGGAAAGGTGTGGGATGAGGCTCCGAACCCAGGATGTGCCACAGGTTTCTTTTTCTTGCTAACACACTGTAGAACGCCTGGACGTTTGTGTCTGCCAGAGCTGGAGCTAATGTGATTTCTAGCTGTCTAATAAAATTCCACTGCTTGCATGTCCTGTGCAGCTCACCATAATGGGATTTGACTGGTGTGTGCTTTAGCTAAACCAGGCACCCTAACCCCAGATGTAAGGGGTCAGGCACGATGACAGTGAAGGCCATTTCCGGTCATGCAGTTTCGATCTCTGGTCTCATGTGAATAGCTATCAGAGCTCAAAGTTGAGGACTGGCTAGTATCTGTAGCAGGTTGAAGGAGTTGAAGGAAATGGGCTCTCTTGGATAGGCACCACACCAGGCACTTTACCTACATTATCCCCAGTAGTGAACCTTCCAGAATACTCACGTGGGATCTTCCAGTCTCGGGTGCCTCTTAGTGTTTGCTTTTATCCTAAGTAATAGCCACCTGGCTTCCTGGTAAACATAGCACTACAGGCTCACCGGATACTTAAATACTTAAATCAGAGCATAATTAGCCCAGGTGACAGACGCATGAACAGCAATGTTATTCTCAGGTGTGCAAAGTATTGTCTCCTGCTGTGCACATTAGTTAGCCTTTCTACCTTTGTTGTGATGCAATTTGTCCATTACTCCGATTCTTTATAATGATGTGACAATGCACCACTATGTGCAGGCTCCCAGAGGGGCCAGCAGGGTCTGACCCGGGGATTTCTAAGCTCTCCTTTCCCTGCCTTCCATCCAGATACAGTGTTCACCCCGGAGAGTCCTTCAGAGCCTACACAACAACAGAAAGAACTAAAAGTGGGTCTCACTGATATGTTTGGATTGCCAAACTGCTTCTCCAATAAAACGCAGGAGAGATTAAATAATTTGAAGGATTTTTGTAACAGAGGCATCGCAAATAATGCAGTTCGATCAGGTTTCGGAGTGGAGTGATTGCGCATTGCAGAAGCAGAAGAGCAGGGAGCAGGACCCACGCCGTCCCCTTCTTCCTGCAGCCACATGCTGTGGACACCATTCAGTCTCTTCCCTGGGAGCCCCAGCAGGTGGGGTAGGCAGAGTACAGTCCCAGGAGCCCATCAGTCCTGGCCTTAAATCCTGGCTCTAGTGCTTACTGGTTTGGAGCTTCTCACTGGCGAAGGGGGATAATCCCGTGTATTGCAGGGACTACGGTCAGATCGCTATGAGAACAGTGCCCTTGAATATAGGTGATGCTCAGTAAATGTCCTAAGGCCCTGGAGCCCTGCAGGCAGGGAGGTGGGCAAAGCCCGTGAAGGAACAGCGGGAAGGGTATACCGGGAAGCAGTTTGAAGGCAGGTTTCTGACTCTGGGGCATATTAAAAAGGTATAAGAACAGATCAAGGTGACAAAGAGGCCATTTATAGACTCCTATCTATATCTGCCTGGGCTAACAGACTGCTTTCTGCAGAGTTCAGACCTTGCCATAGTTTTGCCCCATTTTCTGTCTTTCTCTTTCTTCCTCACCCTTCCCCCCAGTGAACTATTTCCTAGAAGGACGTTCTCTATCCTGTTTGTATCTCTGGCCTTGGATGTCAGAAACTTGTCTTTGTTGGAGCCTGGGTGTGCCCTCTCTGCTCAGTGCAGACTGAGCACATGTGGGCCCCACACTCTCACTGGCCCCTGGGTAAAAGCCCTTCATGGATTTGAAGACAGTCATTAAATCTCTCCTCTTCAGGTTGATCATTCAAATCCCTTACCTTTTCTGAAGGAATCATTGAGAACTTTAACTCATCTTCGCAGCTCTCTTCTGGACTTTTTTGCAAGTTGCAAGGGCAGATAGACACGATCAGACCTGCTTGGCTTAAATGGTAATGTGTGTAGAGGTGTGTAGGGCACGTGCCTGACAGTGTTACCTCCACGTGGGAGATAGTCCCATTGAGAGGTCAAGTGCCACGCCCAAGGCCAAAAGTCTGATTGCACCACCCTGTTGGGTCTAGACCCCCAGTCTGCAATCCGGTGCCCTGCTCTACATCATGGCCTCAGTAGTGACTGTGCCAACGTGGCAAAGACCTCCCCAACACTCTGTTTTAGTTTTTTTCTTCAGCTTTTTTTTTTTTTTTTTTACAGTGATAAGGAGCTAGAATTCTTAGCTTTGAATCCAAAGGTGACCCAGAGTCCTTTTCATATATAAGCAGATTTCTTTTCTGCTCTCTTAGAAATGAGAACTCCTTTAGTCCTAGTTCAGGAGCCATTAGCTCCTTCTCAGGCTTTCTGGAAGGTGGGTTCCTAACTAAGGCTTGGTCTGCAACCAGACGTGATTCAAATCCACGCAGGTTAGTTGTCTTTCTTACCCCGTTTCCACGGCCAGCATTAGAGTGCTG